GGATTATCGCATCTATCTCTCGATTTCTCAGTTTCTAATTTCGAGATTCACTATCTCTATCTTCAAAATTCTATTAGATTTTGAGTTGTATGACTTTCTTCATGTAAGAGTTTGACCTAATTTTTCTCTAAGTTAAGGTTTTTCAAATAATTTCCTTCCACTATTTTCATATCATAGTTTTACAAGATCCTTTCTTTTTAATCATAGTTTCACGAGACGTGTTTAAAAGTTGGAGTAGACCCACCGGCATCAAATAAAGGTTTCTTGAAAAAAAATATATTAGGGATTGGTCATTTTCTATATGAACAATGTAGGTGCTTATTTTTGCTTCTCCTCCTCCGGTTTAAGACGAGACTATTGTATTTATACCTTTAATGTAAATTTTTGTTGTTGTTGCTTATGTGTATGCACATTTCTACCCATGGAGTTTTCCAAGTTTGTGGAGCTCTACTTATATCTCCTTATCCTTTGTTAAGTTCAAGTATGACAACAATGACGTTAAGGCTCATATTAACGTACATCTTATCCACTCAGACTTGATTCTGAGTGAGATATATTGAGACGTTTGATGTGTTTTCTGATTCTCAATAAAATTTGACAATCCGTAGCATTGTGCGGGTACAAAACTAGTATATATATATATATATATATATATATATATATATATATATATATATATATATAAGTGAATGAGTATTGGGGAGGTGGGGAGGTTATGTAATTAATAGTACAATTAAATAAGATAGTTGAGTAATTCTAATGTAAATAAGTTAAAAAGTTTACACAAAGTTTAAAATAATTGAAAGAGTTTTTGAAATTAATTTTTTCAAAAATCTGAAAGTTATTTTACCTGAACTTTTTCTAATTCATAGAGGTGTTTACGGGTGATACAACTCGCTAGACCCGACTCACTCAGCCCGTTAGAAAAGCGATCTTGGACCATTATTTTTGTAAAAATGGGTGGACTTGGGTTGAAACACTAAAATTAATGAACGGGTTTGGACAATGAAAAAGAATTCAGACAAGCTCGCCCGACCCGTTATATCATTATAGTTGATTAAATTTAATGTATAATTAATAATTTACTGTTTTTACTAATGAGATTTAGAAGTGGCTTTGGGTTGGGTTTTCTCAACCAAGTACCAACCGTCACCAAAATATATATAATATGTAATATGTTATATATAAGTTTTGAATCTCGATATTGAAATATTAGATGATAAATATTTTGTTATTGAAAAAACCCGGACTTTTAAAGTTGATAAATCATTGAAGAGAAAATATTCATTTCCATATATTTTGAAACTATTTTTTTCATAAGCTATGTAATTTTATATCTTTTTTGTCTTATTTTATGTTCGAAATAAATTATGTAGTTTAAATGGTTTTATATAACTTATGATTTTACATAATTTTGTTTTTCAAGTTTAGCGAGAATAAGCCTGTTAGCCCATGGGCATGACCGACCTGTTAATAAGGCGGGTACGGACAAGTCTATACGCCTGCAAAAACGGGTTTGTATTTGCCATATTAAGCCCGTTAAATAAAAAAATTATGTTAGGCCCGACTCAAACCCGGCCCAATCCCGCAAATAATGACCTCTAATATATGTATAGAGTTTATGGAAAAAGTTTATGTATAAGATAAACTTTCTAAACTTTCTGCGTAAATTTATTTAATTCTTTCTGGAAAATTTATAAAATAAAATAAAAAGTTCACGTGGAAGGTAAAAAAATTTGTGTAATTTTTATTTATTTATTTCTGGGAATAAGATTTAAAAAAAACTTAAAAAGACTTTACGTAAAAAGTCTTACGTTTTGGGTAAGCTTTTTCATAAAGTGTGCCTATTTGGAGTCCGACATGTCATTTTTCTACCAACGTAGAACAATTTATGCATAAAGTTTATGCAAAACATAGATTTTCTACGTAAAGTCTAATTTTTTCTTCTGAAAACTGGCTTTACGCAAAGACAAGCTTTTGCGTAAAGTTGGGCTATTACAGGAAATGACTTTGTAAAGTAGTTAAAAAGTGAAACTTATTTGGCAAAATGACTATTTCAGTAAATTTTCCTTAAATTGGATGGATTGTCAAGATTAGCTCAGTGGTTTCAAAACATTTGGAGCTCTCAAATGAACCCACCTGTCAGAGATTCATCCCGCCGTACCCACTCGGGATTAGACGAAACGGAGGTGGGACATAAACACGGTACGTGATTAGGGAGAGCTTTTGCACGAGTTTGAGAGATCACAGCCATATCCCGTTCGGTCGTAGGCATCATCGTTTCGTCTAGCTTTAATGATTAATGTCATGAGTTATATAGTGATTGAAAACCAATAAGAATTAGAAAATTTTGCAAACATTAGGAAACAATATGCCTCATGTTGGTGTTCGCTTGCCCTAATTATGTTACAAAATTTCCGTTGAGTTAAGGAAATTTTAGTCATTTTGCTTATTTATTTAATATATTTTTTTATTTACAAATTTAGATGCATTTTGCACAAGTGTACAGTGCATTTACTAACCAAAATACAACAAAACCAAACAAACCCCCCCCCCCCCCCGCCACTCCCTTACTCCGGTCTAGTCATTTTTTCTGGCTACTACACCAAAACACACATACACACCAAATCAATTCAATTCCGAACCTTAATCACCAAGACTCACAATCAAAATCAAAATCAAAATCAAAACCAAAGTTAAACACAAACTCAAACTCGTAGCAAAAACCTAACCCAAAAATCGATTTGCAAGAGGGGGTGATTGTTGCAAGTGGTTCCTACAACGCCTGGGGTTACCATCAAAAGCCATCAAATTTGACTTTTAAGATTAGAAGAAGTGGGAGAACGAGATACCTATCAAACCTACCAAATCTACAATACGTGCTCTAGTCGAGATTAAAAACTTTGAGAGGTAATGAGATCAGAAACTCCTTGATTGCATGTAACAATGATTTAGGCTATTCCAGATCTGGTCATTTCTAAACCCATTAAACTCAAAACAAAACCCAAGATTTAACGACTAAACAATGATGGTGAGTCAACCCAATAACCAAATTGAAACTATGGTAGTTTTGTTTGTATAAGGACACACAAAGCTTCATGGGGTGAAGTATGGGAGGGTGGGCAGGAAGGGAGGAAGTGGTGTTGGGGTAGTTCACGAAGAGAGGAAGAGGAGATATGTATGAAAAGGGGTTCAATTTATCGAAAAATGGGGATTGGGGGGGAGGCTCGACTTTAGGATTGGTTTCTAGGAAGAGAGGATCAAAGTGGAGGATGTTATATAAATGTGTAAAATATTAATGAGTGTTAATTAATTTTAATAGAAAATAAAAAAAAAGATTAAAATGCCTTGATTTAACGAAGTATTTTAGCAGATGTTAAAGTAAGGGACCTGATTTGTAGTGAAAATCAAACCATGATCGATGACGCTAACCATAAATTTAAGGGTTTAAGGACTTTGTCCGTAACCAACAAGAAATCACAAAGACGACATTTATAGTTTGTTCTTTTTTGTTGCTTAGTTCTATTTTATTTGATTTTATCTTTTTTATACTATTATTAGAGGTGTAAAATAATAATTTTTTATTTAAAATATATATCAAATAATAATTTTACATTAAATGGTTAATATAAACATATTTTATTGATTAAGACAAAATATGTATCAAGATAAAGTCTCCTGACGTTATTACCTTTTAATTTGATCATAATTTATTCTCATTTAAGTCTAATAAATTTGGATCTCATTACTTAATTCATTAAATAAAAGAAAGAGTAGATTTTGGATTTGGTCCCTACTTTTATTATTCTGTGATCAAAATGGTCCATAATATTCATTTTATTATTAATTTATCTTATTTATTTACAAAGTCAAACGAACGAATTCTGTTTACGTCATTAACGTCAGTTAATTCTTTTTTATGCTCTTTTCTCTTTCCGTCACCTTCATCACCGCCACGACCCCACTGCTCTACCTCAATCTTCCTTCTCCACTATTGCAATTTTGACGGCCCTCCTCCCCACCGATCCAATGACCCCCTCCCACCTTGCCTCCATTTTCTCTGCTGATTGTAGACTTAAAATCCAGTGTCTTCCTCCCATCTTTTGATTTTGTTTCTACCTTCTCCTTCTTCCTTTTTTTTGTTTTCAGGTTTTTTGCACCCAACAACTAATAATTTCTTGAACCAAATCGGATTATCTGGAATTTAGTTTTTGATTTTGTGGGTTTGAGTTTCAAACAGTTTACACCAGAACCTATACATAGCAGTGAGAGGAGATGTTTTTTTTTTTAAATTTATACATGCCCATCAGGACCCTTGTCCTAAGTTAGCCAATTTCATCCATTGGGTGTTATGTGGTTTTCTCTTACTCCTTAAGGGGAGGGGTTGGGTTGGGTTGGCTTTAGTTTGGTGGAGGTTACATGGTTACTGGAACCTATACAAAACAGTAGAGCAAGCAGCAGGGAGAAGTGACCGTGTTAATGTCTAAGGAGGGGTTTGAACTATGGTGAAGTCATTGAATGGCTTCATTGATATAGTTGGTGTAGTTGAAAAATTCCGTTTAAGAAGCCATTTATGCAATACAATTAAAGCCTATTGATGTTCGATGGTCGGTATGCATATTATATCTGGCAAGGGTGTTATCGACGATGGGTGGGATGCTAGGAAAGAAAAGGGGGTTGAATATGATGTAAAATATGTAACGAAATTATAAATTTATAATAAATAAAAATAAGTGATGATTTTTGTTGAAAATAACAAACCTTATAAACCAAAACCGAAATTTACTATAAAAGAAATGGAATTATCCACAAAAAGTAATCGCCATTAACATTTAAGGGCACGCTCCTCGCACGTGCCACATTTCAAATTTATTCATTAACAAAATACGAAAAGAAGACTAGGGTTTTAGAACAGACAAGTCGGCGATCTCGGGCAGTTCGGTCACCTGCCCGTTTTGCAAATTTTCTCTTTCCCCTTCATCCCTCCCGCTTCCTTCCTTCATTCGAAATATATACACCCCCAAATACTCTCTAAACGACATACTTGCTCTCTATTTTCTCTCTCTAAATTTACACTTCATTCGGCTCCCGTGAGTCACTTGAAACTTCTCCGGCTACCATCGGATTTCCCCTTGAATTTAAGGTATAATTTGTTCTTTTTTTTCTAATTTTGATTTAGGGTTTATACGATTCTTAGTTTTTTAACAGCAGATCTAAGTTTAGGTTATGTTTTGCTGTGGGAGTAATAAGGGTTTTGGTGTTTTCAAAATCTATGTTTGCCGGTTGGATTTGTCTCTATTAGGATTTATTCATATGTAGACTTTGTTGGCTGTTTAGTGTCTATGCTTTACTTACAGATCTTAATTTACTCGTTGATTGATGTTATTACTTCTAGGTTACTGACTTCTTCGCTTAGTAGTTGCTAACGGAGTAGGTGAAGTTCACAACGCGTTTTGGAGTAAAAGGGTAACCTTCCGCTTATTGGATGTTTTCGATTGCTTAAGTTTTTTGTTCATAGGTCACTTCTAACGAGAGGGTTGGGGGAATGCTCCAATATCCCCTAGTAATTACTATTTGAAGATGTGGACCATCTCTTTTGAATTATGGTGACTAGGTTCTTTTCCATTACTTTGTGATGCAACTAGCTTAACCAAAAATATCTGACCTTACGGAAGCTTAATCAAAAGGGATGAAGAGTTGCACTTTCATCTTATGGTAAAATGTTTAGTGAAATTTTGGTTGATTTTGATTAAGCAATTTTTGTAATATAATAAATATGATACCAGGAAGTTTCATAAAAAGATAGACATAGTGACACATTAATTTGATGTTTTTTCTTCATGTGCACCTATAGATTTCTTGAAGTCCCAAAAAATTTGCTTTGGGAATGATGAGGAAAGTGATATTGTAAAGTGATTGCGAGGAGACCAAGTAATGATAAAAAAGTGGCATTCTGGATGATTTTTTTTTTCAAATTGTCAGTTGTGCAATCATTCTATAGTTCCCGAGTTATTTTCAATCTTGAATTTAAGCATTCTGGTACTGTTTATCTTCCTTTAAAAGCGTTTATAGCATCCAGTTCCATCAGCCAATTAACAAGCGGCAGTCCATGGAAAAATCTAATACAAGTTTGTGAACTGTAGACAACCATATTCTTTTATAATTGTCACTCTAGTTATTAAGGTTGGTTCGTTAGATAGTGTTTGTGATAGCTTACAAACTTGACAATCATCATGAGTTATTTTCAATCTTGAATTTAAGCATTCTGGTACTGTTTATCTTCCTTTAAAAGCGTTTATAGCATCCAGTTCCATCAGCCAATTAACAAGCGGCAGTCCATGGAAAAATCTAATACAAGTTTGTGAACTGTAGACAACCATATTCTTTTATAATTGTCACTCTAGTTATTAAGGTTGGTTCGTTAGATAGTGTTTGTGATAGCTTACAAACTTGACAATCATCACGTGTCATGTGGAAACTTGGTGTTTATGTCATGATGTAATATTTGTAATGGTGGTCTTTGATATAATTTTTAAACATAAGCTGCATGTTTCCTTTCTGGTTCTACTGTGATCTGTTTTGATTCTTTTTCTCAACTGTGTTTTTGGCTCATCTTGTATCCGGAAAGTAAATTCTGGAACTATGTTTAAAGATTTCTGCCAAATATGATAAAATAATTGATTGTAATTCTTCTATTTTTTTGAATAGGAAAAAATGGCTGTGGAGATCACGGAATTTCTATTATCTGCTCAATCAGCAGATGCAAAGGTCCGAACCGAGGCAGAGAGTAGACTTCGGCAGTTCCAGGAGCAAAACCTTCCTGGATTCCTTCTGTCTTTATCACTAGAACTCTCCAATGATGGTAAACCTCTGGAGTCTCGTAGATTGGCTGGTATTGTGCTCAAGAACTCTTTGGATGCTAAGGATGCTACTACAAAGGAACATTTAGTGCAGCGGTGGGTGTCAAATGATGTTGCATTCAGATCCCAAATCAAAGGCTTGCTGTTGAATACTCTTGGTTCATCTGTGTCCGAGGCAGGGCACACTGCTGCCCAAGTAATTGCCAAAATTGCTTCGATAGAAATTCCAAAAAAAGAATGGCCTGAACTCATTAGTTCGTTGCTTGGAAATATGACTCAACAAGATAGGCCAGCATCATTGAAACAATCAACTTTGGAGGCACTTGGGTATGTCTGTGAGGAGATATCTCACAATGATCTTGTCCAAGATGAGGTTAACTCTGTTCTCACTGCTGTAGTCCAAGGCATGAATGTTACTGAGCAGAGTTCTGTACGTCTTGCAGCATCTACAGCACTATACAATGCTCTTGATTTTGCACAGACCAATTTTGAAAATGAGATGGAGAGGAACTACATAATGAAAGTTGTTTGTGAAACTGCCATGGCCAAGGAAGCAGACATCAGACAGGCTGCTTTTGAATGTCTTGTTTCAATAGCATCAACATACTATGACGTGCTGGAGCCTTATATGCAGACCCTTTTTGAACTAACTGCAAATGCCGTCAAAGGAGATGAGGAAAGTGTTGCTCTTCAAGCAATTGAATTCTGGAGTTCTATCTGTGATGAAGAGATTGAGCTTCAAGACTTTGATGGTGGTGAGAGTGGGGATTCATACCCTCATTCACGTTTCATTGAGAAGGCTCTACCGTTGTTGGTTCCCATGTTGCTTGAAACTTTATTGAAGCAGGATGAAGATCAGGACCAAGACGATGGTATTTGGAATCTCTCCATGGCAGGGGGAACATGCCTTGGTCTTGTTGCCAGAACTGTTGGGGATGCGATAGTACCCTTAGTAATGCCTTTTGTGCAGGATAACATATCAAAGCCAGATYGGCGATCTCGTGAGGCAGCTACATATGCATTTGGATCAATTCTTGAAGGCCCAAGTGTTGAGAAGCTCTCCCCAATGGTCCTCTCTGCATKAGAATTTCTGYTTAATGCTWTGAGGGATCAAAATAGCCATGTGAAAGACASCACTGCATGGACTCTCAGCCGTATTTTTGAGTTRTTACACAGTCCGGCCACTGGATTTTCTGTTATTTCAYMTGCTAACCTTCAACGAATTGTRGGGGTCCTTTTAGAAAGTATCAAGGATTCTCCCCATGTTGCAGAGAAGGTCTGTGGGGCTATTTATTATCTTGCTCAGGGATATGAGGGTTTTGAAACTRGCTCCTCTGTTCTCACACCATATGTTRYAGATGTCATAACTTCTCTTATTGCAACTGCTGAACGAACAGATGTCAATGATTCAAAGTTGAGGTCAGCTGCATATGAAACCTTGAATGAGGTTGTGAGGTGCTCCAACCTTGCTGAAACATCTCAAATAATAACACAACTTCTCCCTGTTATCATGACCAAGCTGGGACAGACAATCGATCTTCAGATTCTTTCATCAGAAGATAGAGAAAAGCAAGGAGATCTACAAGCTTTGCTTTGTGGTGTCTTGCAAGTTATTATTCAGAAACTTAGCAGTATTGATGAAACTAAGCCGGTTATATTTCAAGCTGCAGACCAGATTATGATGTTATTCCTCAAGGTGTTTGCTTGCCGTAGCTCAACAGTACATGAAGAAGCAATGCTTGCCATTGGTGCTCTTGCTTATGCCACTGGACCAGAATTTGGGAAGTATATGCCAGAGTTCTACAAATATTTGGAGATGGGTCTTCAAAATTTCGAGGAATACCAGGTTTGTTCCATCTCCGTTGGGGTGGTTGGTGATATATGCCGTGCTTTGGATGACAAGATGTTACCTTATTGTGATAATATCATGACACTGCTCCTTAAGGATCTCTCTAGTGGTGATCTACACCGCTCTGTCAAGCCTCCAATTTTTTCGTGCTTTGGTGATGTGGCCCTTGCTATTGGGGAACACTTTGAAAAGTATGTTCCTTATGCTATGCCCATGATGCAAGGAGCTGCTGAAGTGTGTGCCCAAATAGACATCAATGACGAAGAGATGGTGGAATATGGCAATCAGCTCAAGCGAAGTATATTTGAGGCATACTCGGGTATCTTACAAGGATTTAAAAATTCCAAGGCTGAGCTAATGTTGCCTCATGCTCCACACCTCTTGAAGTTCATAGAAGTGTCTGTTAAGGATGCACAAAGGTATGGGTTATCTTTTCTTGTCTTTGCTATTTCTTTACTCATGATTTTTCCCGAGTTGCTACTCATTATACCAATTGGAGTGCCTATGTGCTATTTCAACTGTTTGTGAAGTATTTTATGTATGCATATAAATTGCTAAAAAATAAGCATGCAAGTTAGAATAGCAAAATTATACTTGTATTGATCATTGGAATATATCTAGCTACACATGAGTAAAAATCATGGATGAGTTTTTTTGTAAAGAAAGCTATTTTCATCAGCATCTTTTTGTTSTCCAACTCCAAGTGCTTTGTCGGGAATGGACAACAATTAATCAATGCAATATCTTTGTTTTCCAACAATTAATTTGGTCTGTAAATCATTGTTTTACACCCTTGGAGATGATTTGGAAGACACCCTTTTGGTGTGTATATATATATATATACATATGTTAAATGTATTTCTGCTTATGTGTGTTATTTGGAATGGGCGTGATGTAGGGATGAGAGTGTGGTAAGAGCAGCGGTAGCAGTGCTGGGAGATCTTGCAGATGCACTTGGATCACATGTGAAGATGCTATTCAAAGATTTGGCATTTTGTAGCGAACTACTAGGAGAATGCCTTCAATCTGAAGACGAACAGCTCAAGGAGACGGCGACTTGGACTCAAGGGATGATCGGGCGTGTATTTTCGGTATGCGGGTAATTATTGGTTGTTTGTCGTTAATTGAAAAATGCGCTTTTTCATTTACGTATCATGTTTGGGTAAATGCATGGGTGGCTGTGTTTTTTTTGTAGTATGGATGAATCTTTTTAAGTCCAAAATTTGGCATTAAGGCCACTATAACGGTGCCTGATCATTTTTATGAAACTCTCTTTGGTCCCTGGAGGAGTTGCTTTATTTATGTTCCATACAAATTGCAATGTTTTCATTTTAGGAAAGCTTGATGACTGAAATCATCTATTTGTGTGTGTGACTGTGTGTGTTTGTGTTGCCTTATTAAATTTGAAGTGCCTGGGTAATAGTTTCTGACAGGTTGTCCGTCACTTGTTTTTAAAGTAGTAATAGTTGATATTGTAGATGCTCAAGCATAATACATACCAAAACATTATCCCATGGAAACTCACCTTAGTGTGTGTATAGATGTGCAGAATGCACATGCCATGTTTTGGGTTTTTAATTGGTCCAAATACTTCAAATCTTGAATTTTCTTTTATACGAATCTTGACATGTATATCTACCATTAATCTAAAACATCAAGTAATACAAGAAAACGTGATTAATTTTATGGCCTTGTCTTGTGTTTTTTCAACAAGTAACGGTCTTTTAGGGGCGTTTACTAAACGCTTACCAGGTAAGTACTTACCAGGTAATTTTCCTTACCGGATGAACATGACAACGGCCAATAATCTTATCCAGTAAGAGCGATGATAAGGAAGGACAGTCTTATCCGGTAAGTGAGGGTAATGGCTCTTATGATAAAGTTTATTGGGTAAGCGCATACTAGGTAAATTGTTGTATAAGATATGTTTTGATGTACTACAATCTTATTCAATAAAATAAATTATAGTGCTGACTCATAAGATTAAGCATCTACTGGGTAAGCATTTAGATAAACGGCCCTTAGTTTCATTTAAACACTAGTAATGCATCAATCACTTGTATAACACCGCATGCTACTAATGAAACATCAAAGCATTGATTCAACATTCAAATTACTCATAAATGCTTGAATTCTAAACTCAGCTCCCTGCTTCACCAGGAGAAGATTGGGAGCTTTTGTAGTTTATATTTTCCCCAATTAGTTCGATTGAGTATGTTTAAAACGTCTCTCTTTTTTGAATTGGAGAACCGTAAACTCTTCTTTGCATACTTTACAACTTAGATCCTTTGAACCGTTTCTCACATCTAGATATGATTTAGGGGTGTTACATAGGATTTCGATCGATGGCTCCTTGAATGTCCCACGGAAATAGAGTTATTTACAATAAATAGGAAGATGTGATTCCATCTTTTATATATTCTTCACAAATCGTCCTTTTCTTGATCATGCTATTGAATCCAATCGTAATGTTGGCTATCATTCAAATTCATTATTTTGACTAAAATATTAATCTACTCTTTCCAAATTGTTGTTCTGTCTCGAGGTTCTAGACCCAAAAAAAAAAAAACATTTCAAATAAGAGATAAAGACTACTTGTAATCATGCTAATGACAGACTATTCAAATGATATCCATGGTATATATAATGCAACGTCATGGACTATATACCAATAATAGCTACCAACTATAGGACATGAATTAGTTCTCTAAATATAAATCGCAACGTAAGGATAACGATCGATCAACTGAGGGCTTCGTTTCGGCCTATGGAATCTCAGTTCTGTAAAAGCTGGTCTTTGAGAGCATAAAGAAGGCCTTAGAAATGATTTGGCGCCGCTCACTAAATTTCGTGGTTAATAAAATTTGAACGTTGGTTCGACAACGGACTTGTGATTTCTCCGTTACATTATATGAAAGTTATAAGTTCTATATACTAACATAAATTTTGTATTGATCAAAATGGATATTTTTGTATCATACTCATACATGTTAGTGCCTTGTAAAGATTACCATCTCATGTGTAGTAATACCTGACTAGACTAACCAGTAAATAAGTTACTTGAATTCACTCCTTTCTTGATTTAACTTGATTACCTAATCCTTTATAATAAACTTAGTCATCTTTTTTGGTATAAAAGTAAATTAAGTTGCATAAGCTATTATGATTAATTTATGCAAATGCTTCTAACATGTTCCGTTATCGAGGTTAATGTAACCATCTACATAAGTGACGAATATTAGAAGGTTAAAAGTTAAAAGAGTCTTAGAAAGTGAAAAGTGAAAAGTCTTGTGTTCTAATGAAATGGTAAATCTAGGAGTAAACCATTTGCCTTTAAACAACTTACCTATTTCAATTGTAATACAAGAGAAATGAAATGAAAATGAAAGTTGAAGGTTCAAACTAGAAGAAGTTTATCCTCCATGGATTCTCTATATTCAGCAATTGGTATCAAAGCTCTGTATAATTAATACGAACAACTCTAATATTCCTCTTTTGTTTGTCAACTAACCGAAGAAAGTTATGGTAAATGGAGTATCCAAATGATGGGTTTTCTTGGATCTCGAAAGCAATGTGAAATAGTTGAAAAGGGTTGTACCAAAGTTGAAAATGAGGAAGAATCATCACAAGCTCAAAATGAGAATCTAAGAAGATCTAGGAGGAAAAACCATCAAGCATTGTTTTAGATATACCAAGGAATACAATCATATGAAGTCGTTTGGAAAAAAATAACTTGTGCCACTACAGCGAAGCAAGCATGGAAGATTTTGAAAACTCCATTCAAAAGAAATGATTACAAACTACTCGAGGAGAGTTTGAAAGCATACATAAAATGGAGCCAAATTTCATTTATGATTATTGTTCGTGGGTATTGTCTGTAGTTAACCAATTAAAAACAAATGTTAAAGCTATGCATGACATTCATATGTTATCGAAAAAATCCTTCGTTCTTCGGATTCTAAATTTTGACTAAATTATGGTAGCATCTATAAGAATCTAAGGGCTTGACCACCATGACCATTGATGAATTCACAGGCGTATTGCAAGCTCATGAAGGGGATACTCAAAAGAGGCTTAATGGGCTGTGTAAGGGTTATAGCTTATTCGCTCAACTATAAAAAGTTGTTCGTTTGTGGCTATTCGTTAAGTCGGGTGCTTATTCGATCAGCTAGAAAACCTTGGTCCTTTACACTCAACCATAAGTTTTCCCTAACTACCCCTTTCTTTTTTACATAAAAAAGACAACTCCTAACAGAAAAAGACCTGCTACATGTACACTCCGGCCTACCAGCCCTCTTCTTCGAGGAAGAGGTTCTTATGTAAGAAAGGATAATGAATGGAATGAAGTAACTTCAACTCAATATTTCAGTGGTTCACAAAGAGCATGTTGACGTGGAAATCAAAGAGGACAAGGTCATGGTTATGTTGAATTCTGTAATTGTCATAAACCTGGACACTTGGCGAGTGAATATTGGTATAGGGAGGAACAAAAACATGATTGCTAATAGGATGTCTAGAAATAGAAACCAATCACAACATAATCAATATACTTTGTTGTTCGTATCTCGTGGTGGAGGTTGTAAAGTTGTCTGGTACATAAACAATGGTGCTAGCAAGCATATATGACATACAACGAAAATTCCAAATTGTTTGAAGTAACTATGAAGAACTTTAATTTGAAGACAACAAAGAATACAAAGTAAGTGGTATCGGTGAATTGGAATTCAAATCAAAACAAGGAACTAGTGAAAATATGTCTGAAGTTTACTTCTTGTGGCCCAAAATCAATTTTCTAACTGTCAATGATCTTTTGAAGAAGGGGTATAACTGTAGATCCCAGATTCAAGTCTATATCACAATCAATACAAGATCAAGAACATAGATTGGATTGAATATATCGGCATGTATATTGATGATGTTCAAAGTACAAGATGTTCTTGATTCTCTCAATGATCTCTCAATGTCTCACGTATACAAGATATGCTACAAACTCTCACCTGTTAACTTCTAACAAACAACAACTAACAACCTATTTATACCTACCAATTCCAAGAAACAAACTACTTTACAAAGCATAATAAAACACTTTAAGCTCGAGGACTTGAATACAACATTTTTAGACTTAACAATCTCACCCCTTTGGATTCAAGTCCAAAAACAACAAATTCTTCAGATCTGTAAAACTTTAGCTTTAACAGCAACGATCTTCAGAATTCATTCAGAAATCTTGACATCTTTAAATTTGATCTTTTAAGACTTTTGCAATCTCCCCTTTTAGAAAAACTCTTTCAAAACTTGTCTTTCAGACATTCTTCAAATCTTCAGAACTTTTACAATCTCTCTCAGAACTTTAACAAACTTCTTCAAAAAACAATATCTTCCAAATATTAATCATTCACAAAAATTAGTAAGCTCCCCCTAAACTTGATAATATCATCTTTTCAACTTTTAAGCAATCTCCCCCTTTGTAACAAACAATTATCTTATCTGACTTTCAAACAATCTCTCCTTGAACATTATGGAAAATAGACTTGTAATCTTCTTCAATTTTCTTCAATCTCCCCCTTTGAGATAGGTCATAAATAATCTTCACATTTACTCTCTTTCAACAGTAACTCCCCCTTAACCACAACTAATAATCTTCACTGATTTTTCTTATTCCCCTAGAATCAAGACTTTGCATTCATTTTGTATTTACTCCCCCTATCTTTAGAAATCACTCATTCATTTGATAACTACTCCCCCTTATGATGTGAATGAGGAGCATAAATATCATGCCATGAAATAAATGATTTAGGAAAGTATGCCGTCAATTCATAAAGTTTTAAGCAAATATTTTCAAATCTGCTTATGTAATATTTTCAGATTAAAAATTTAGAGAAAATACCAGATTCAACTTATGAATCCGTTTTCAATCTTTAATAAAAAGATTGGCCTGTGAATACAACAAATATATTCAATACAACGAATGTACTTCATATATGAGACTTTTTGACGTTCATCTCACCAGGACCTCCATTCAATCATTGATAGCTTGAAAAAACATATCTATGAATGTTAAGATAGAATAACAAATATTCTATAAAATTTGTGCAATGAAGAA